AAGTGAAATCATCTTTCACTTGCATTCCAGCTTGTATCTCAAGAATTCTGCCAATACTGAAAAAGAGTTCCTCTTCATAAACTAGATTTGTATTATAGCCATATGGCCAGATGGATAACATCTCCATCCCTGATAAATATAAAACTGAAGTAGTTAGTAGCAAAATTTAATTTAATTACACCCCTTCTGCAAAGACCTGTAAAAATGTGTACAAAAATGTTTCAGAAGTTTTTGTGTAATGTGGATCAAAAATACAGTACAGAAATAGAAAGCATAGGTCAAAAGCACTTTATTTGACCCTAAACCACCAAAAATATCCTTACTTCCTGTGCTCAATTTAATCCATCACAATCTACAACCATCTTAGCTGTATAATCTAATAATTATCCCACACGTTTCTGTGAATTTATGTATCAAGAGTATTAGGAAGAAAGGATTTATTAACATAGCCTCTCAAGAGGTATTTATCGTGATTATGGTTCTTCACTTCTCGAGAACACTAACATTTTCTTTTATTTCCTCAGGTTCAAAATTAAGTTACAAAATTTGTAATAGTAGAAAAATGCCACATCTTTTAAAAACTAAGAATTCCTTCTCTAACAGCCAGGCTGTACTTGATTTGAGCTCCCATGTAAGCAAATTTTCTGCCTCCTGGTACTTCACAGTGGTTAAAAAAGTAACTAAGCATTTTAAATGACTAATAGGGAAACCTGCTAACTTAATGAAATACGATAAAGGAATGGGATCTTAGATGTACTGTGCATATAATAATTAAAATATATTACGAAGCACAAGATTCCAACAGAACAAACCCAACAGCTTCCTCACCTGCAAAGGTATCCAGGTCCAAGGAAAAATTTCCTTGGACACTGAAAAATAGCACTAACACACCCTCTTAGGAGACAAGGAAGTTTATACTCTGGCCAATGTTCTACATGATTGTATAAAAGCATTACTAATCATCAGCATTACGTATGGAGAGTTCAAACTTGCAGTTACGTATGCTTTATTCTTTATCCCTGAAAATACAGGCAGGGAACTCCACAAAGTGCAAGGACAGGAGGCCACTATAATGTTTAGAACTTACAGGAACCCATAGTTATGAAAGAGCCCTACAAGCTTTTCAAACTGAGTCTGTATTTGCAGCAAAAAACATCTGATTATATACTGAATAAAATACAGAGATTTGGTCAAAGTTTTTGATGAAGACTGCACAGTAAATTTCCTAACTCTCAGGAAAGCCTACCAGCATGCCTCTGAAAAGTTAAAATTTGAAAGATAAGTCTAATCAGTGACCTGAATCGCCAGACAAGAAAATCTGAACAACTAAAGAGAATTTGGCTATAAAACAATATGAATGTCCAATAGTTCCAAATTACTACAGTATCATGAACATGCTACAGTATTCATAAATATTGTGGTCCACTAAGCACACTTCTCAAACTATCTAAAATAATTAGAATAATTTGGAATCCTGACTAAAGTATCAAGACTAAAACCATACCTGTAACACTACTTGCCAGGATTGTATAAACAAGCTAGATACTATATCCACAAAATAACTCCCGGCATACACATTGGATTTATAAGCCAGAAGGAAGGAAGGAAAATTATCTAACTAAATCTCTGCCATATGGAGTTCAACTGAAAATATTCAGCAATTTTATCAAATTCTCCACTGCAAGCTCAACTTCATGCATCTGAAAGGCAAAAAAAGGAAATACCGATTGTAGATTTTGTGGAACTTCACATAGGTTCTTTTCGCTTCCTTCTGCTTTAGCAGTAAAACACTTTGCTGTTTAATCTCATCGCTGCCATCACCTGAGCTTCAGAGTTTGTTAAAATAAACAGGACCAGTTCATGTACCTCAGCAGGCTGTCTGCAACACTACTGAGCATGGTCACCTACCTTGATATGGATGCTTCTGAGTCACAACAAAGATGCCCTGAGCTGGATACCATGAGAGCCCCATTCAGCCTTGATTTCTACCTTTTTATTTGTCCTTCCTCCAGAGGAGTTCACTTCATAGCCTTTTTCCACCTCACCTCTAGATGCATCATTTCATTTCATCTGTCCTGACAGAACTGATACCAAAACCAGTCTTTCTGTTAGACAATCAATGTATTCTCCCTTTTTAATATATAAGCTACTTTCTAATATTGTTTATATTAAAAAATGAACAGATTAACTTAAAAATAAGAACAAAGTTTTAGAAAACACAAATAATGTAGAAGGTGGTGTTATGGGCTGTATATTGCATATAATATAAATCATTTTGATGTGGCATAAGAAGCCTATATGATCTCTTGTTTGTGTTACATTTAAATTGCTGAAATTTTAATCTCAGATCATTTTCAAAGAGAGTTCTGCTGCTAGTTATACAGAAAAATACTGGTGGTTCAGAATCATTATTATAAGCTGACCATAAAGTTGCTATCCATCCTGGCTACATGCTGTTTTTTATACTAATCACATGCTATTGATTTCTTGTATTGAGAGTTCAAGCTATTTTGTTTGTATTTCATCTTACACAGGAGTAGTACCCAGACAGCAAAAGGCTACAAATAAAGCTTTTTACATTTCAAGGTATTACAAATATTATCCAACAGGACACAGTAAAAAAGGACTATTAATAATAGTAAACTTGTTGAAATTGAAAGATGTTCAACTACAACACAAAGTTTTTATATAAAAAGATATACAGCAACTAATCTAAGTAGCAGTGCATGATTTAGTGCACACCATGTGAAAAGATGAATCTCTGTACTTACAGTCCATGAAAATCTGTAGTAAACAGGGAGAAGCTGAATACTACATCAAGGAGCATTAGGATGAAGGAAGGTTAATACCTTCAAATATGTAGACTGTAGGAGGATAGGCTATTATTCATCATTTTGATATTGAGGGTAGGCTGGATAAAATGGATTGCAATAGTTTGCAGAGCTCTGGCTGACCGTTCTTTGGTTTGAATCAGTTACAAGAACACAACAGTACTAGACCATGTTTTTATCTACTCCCTTCCTTCCTTCCCCATTGGTCAGTTTTCTGAATTTGACTCTTAATCACCTAATAAATAACAGGAAACAAACAAACAAAAAAAATGATTCTTATTTATGGTAAGGCTGCTTTATGATGTCTGATAAAGGATACAGAAGTAATTTAAGTCCATTTTCACTGTTATTCATGGAGGTTTGCACGTAACAGAGAATCAGACCAAGTGTATAACGTGACAGTGACACTTAGCTGTCATTTAAATCCACTGTCTTTCATTTATGACCATGACTTTTTGCATATTTGTTTTGCAACTGACTGCTATAATTGCGCCCCCATTTCATTTACGTAAATAAAAAAATTAAAAAATAAAAGGAAAACATGGTACCATTGTAGTCAACTCTTCAATGTCTTCAGGAGGTTTATTTAGATTGCAGATTAATTATGCCTCAGATACAATGCACTAAGCAAGCTCTGGCCAAATCATTAGCCGAGGCAGTGTCAATATTGCTTAATACCAGCCCTGCCAGACCTAAACAGAATCCGATAAAGCTGGTCAGACCCCTCTGCACTACCCCTCGGTGCCCTAGAGTCCAAGAGAACATGGTACCGAAGGCATGGCACTGTTTTGTAATTGATAAACCCTCCTACAACAGTAGCGGCCTTGATAAGCCCGCTTGGTTCAAGGAGGACTTACTAGCTTTTGGGTCAGGAATAAGCATGCCTGGCTGCATGCTACACGGTGCACCCCAGTACCGCTATGACTGTATATGTGAGGGCATGTAGGCGCATGCATGCAGGTATAGCGAGCCGGAGAGGGAGGAAGACTTGGTTAACCTGGATAACAGAGAATCGACTTTATGTTCTCTTCCAGAAGGTATTTGCATACTAGAGACAAACATTAAACTTGCATGGATTTATTCTTTAAGCTAAAAGTTTACATATAATTTTCCCACACAGCAGCGGGCAGCATGTTCAAGCCACGAGGGACATACTCAAAAATTCCAGACTACAAACCATACGTATTTATGTACCTATTTTTAGACCATTTCAATTTACCTTACTCATCAGGTCATGCTTTTTTCTTAGGACTTCACAATCCTTTATTCCTTTTTATTTGTCTGATCTCATGGTTGACCCTGCTTGCAGCAGGAAGTTGAAGTAGAGATCTTTTGAGGTGCCTTGTAGCCTGAATTTTCCTTTGATCCTATGATTCCAAAAGGAATGGTATCTTTACTACCTGCTGATCACCCACCCCTCCTATGAACATTTAGTTTCCTTTTATGCTGGCTTTTTTGCAAGAAGCTCACTTCCCCTTCCTCTAATTTCTTAAACCATTTCCTTGACTTTCAAAACATCTTGGTTCTCTTCTGCCTTGGAGCCTGCAATAAAACTATTGCCAATCGGTATTAGACTGCAAAATAGACCAGAGACATGCTTTTCCTAAGAATGATCTCTCCTTCTTAAGAATAAGTACGTGTAGTTTCACCCGATGTACAATATTCAGAATAAGTAATACATTCATAGTTCCAGCTAACACTGCCATATGCAACTTCCTTCATTTAATTAAAAAACACCAGCCAGAAGCCAAGAACACCATTACCAGCACAGCATATGTAGCCTACACTGAGATTTAGAAATATGATCTTCCCTGCAAAGTGCAGAGCAATTACTTATTCCACAACACTACAGTCTTGATGTTGTAGCTCAAGCATCAACCTGTTACAGTTCTTCTGCAAGGCACCTCTTTGAACAAACCTCATTACCACAGCAGGAAGAACAGTTTCTCAAGCACACTGAGAGGCTGATACTCCTGCTCTGAGCCTTTCCTTCAAGTCTTGCTACAAACACTAGGACTGCAGCGGTATTGCTGCTTTTTCAGCCTTGCGTGGCAGAGCAGAAACAGGATTTTCTCTTCAGCTGGGATGAAATAGCTCTCTTGTTTCCAGTTAGAAATAGGATTTGAGTTAAGGAAAGCTTAAACGTTTTGTGGCATGAACTAGGCTTACCTCCTGGACAATGCCTCATGGCCATTTTACACCGTCTGGACTCTGCAATGGTTGGACACTGTATTGTGTCTTTCGCTGGCTTTTTCACAATTTGTCTTGTTCTTGTTTCCAGGCCCCATTTAAATCCACACGTTTTGTTATTTCTGCTGCAAGTTCCCCACTCACTCCACTGACCCACCTCGCAGCCTTCTAATAAAGCAAAAGAAACACAAGTTAGCAGGTCATTTGGCACTCAGGGTTTTTTTTCCTCCTTCTTTTTAATTATCAAGAATATATCTGAACCTAGCCACCTGGCAGAAGAGTTGCTTCAGCAGCACGAGTGTGCTGGAACACTCACCCACACACTCCATAATCTCTTCCAAGGCTGCAAATCCAGGGGGGCACCCTCTGAAGCAGCGGCCTCTGTGCGAGTAGAAGCCAGTTTTGCATTTGGTACAAAAGTCTCTGCTAAAGCAGGAATCGCAGTTTTCTATTCTGCATCCTAAACCAGAAGGATCACAAGGAACAACATGACAGTTAGGTTAGGATAAGACTAAAAATTAAAACGCTTTTAGAGCAACAGAATAGCAAATATGAGAAGTACTATGAAGAGGAATACTGCCAACCCAAAACCTACCCAATATATATGAGTAATTAAAGTTAACTATAAGTACCACATTTTCTCCCATATCCTTCTTCTCATTTTCTTATTAAGAAAGGAAAAAGTCATATTGAACTGTTGTACAAAGATGTCCTCAAAGGAAACTGACTAAACAGTAGAACGGATAACACTGGTAATGAGTAATAATGTTTTTAAAGTAAAAAGCTGAAATGCCGAAACTGTAAAATAAAATAAAATTTCTAATTAAATGATCTTTGAGTTGATCACATCTTTTTGGAGGAAAAGTGTTCAATGTAAATATTCTTCTGTTTAGGCAATTTTAAGGAAAAAAGACGTGATAAATTATTTTAGGAAGTATGTATATATTGTGCGTATTAGGTTTGTTTTATCATTTGTCATTGCAAGCAGGATCCAAAAGTTTTCAATGAGCTGACCCTATAAATAGCTGGATGAATGCTTTCACATACCAGGTTTGACTTCCATATCTACATGCACACACGCGCTATCTTGCAAAAACCTCAATTCTCCATTATTAGTGAAGCCAATCCATAAAATATAACCCTTATTAAGTGATTAAAAGACAAAGCTAGTCAAGAGGGAAAGAAAAATTTCCTAACATTGAATTTCTCAGAGAATTTAAGAAAAATACACTCAACAGATTCAGAAACAGCCTATTCCATACTAAAACATGGAAACTTGGAAATAACGTAGATACCAAGAATTATACACACACCTGAAAAGCAGAAAATACTTACATGGTTGGTTATGAAAGTCAGTCATACATACCTACAAAAAATGTCAGGGAAAAATGTTCCAAAGATTACAGAGAAAAAGCTATTATACTGGAACAGTAATAACAGTACCTTATAAATTTTAAAGATAAAAATAAATCCTTCAGCTAATGTTGTTTATATGAACTACATTAATTGTATATTAACTGTCATCAGCTACATGAAGTTACAGCAATGAGCATTTGTTATTCATTTCATATAACAATGTACTAGTCTTTGTGGTCACTTATGTCATTCATCTATTTTTTTCTTTCTACAGAAAAAGTTCACAAAATATGGCACTTCTGAAATAAGAGCAATTCCCCTAAAAACACCGTAAACTTAGCCAATCTTTATAAAACAGATTTTAAAATTTATTCTTGAACTTCAGAAGGCCAAAACAGGATATACTATAACACAAACTAAGTGGTGGTGGGAAATTATTCTTTATGGGGAATTTTAGGGAAATAAGGCTTTTTAGACCATAGGTCTTGTGGTTGCACTACAAATAAGGCAGATTGTATGGAGGGGGAAAAAAAAATCAAATGCTAGTATTCCTTCTTGCTTTTAAAGAACTCAAAAATCAGAACTCAACAATCAACAAGTCAACCATCAGAACTCAATCATCATAAACAAACCGTTTGCTATTAACTCTAGTGTTCATAAGCACCAGAAATTTGGCTCCCTATACACAGTTTAGTCCATAGGAAATTTCCAGGAACTGTCTTTTCTTTTTTTCCCCACAAAGTTTGAACTGACCTTCAAAGAGAAGATCGATGCCCACACAGGATGCTTGAAAGTAATGCAGACAACATAGGTCTACAACAGTTCCAAGTAAATTCCTAGATAGGGTCCCTTGCCTTGCAAGAAATTGATTTGTCTTACTTGGGCAAAACTCCAGATGAATTCATATAAACTACTTCATCTATCCAAAGAACTCTGAAAGCAGATGGTGAATGAAAACAGATATAAATACATTATTATTGTTAACCATATGGGTTTTGGTCAGAGATATTAAGTTAATATATCTTTAATATACATAGATAACCTATTAAGAGTACGACCCACAAAATTTCTTCTCCAGATTAACGTGTGTCTGCAAAATTAAGTCATAAGGTGAGGTGCTCTGGAAACGAACTGCAGTAGTTAATTGCAAATCTGGTTTGTTATACTCAAGTTGTACAGCAAATGTTTTATTAATTGCAATGCTTGAATTAAACATGTGTTTAAATATTCATAAAAAGATTTGCCTCTTGCCCACCCACACAAGACAAACTGAAAAGACATCAAGGTTTTTCCAAATCATTTAGTCCAATGATGAGGCGCAAAACAGAGCATTAGAAGAAAAATTAGTTTCTTGTGACCCACCTTCACATCCAAGTGACGCAAATGTATTTTTGAAACAATGTTTTAACTATTGCTTTCAAAATATGATAGGGAGCAATATATTTACAGTTTATTCCATTTGAACTCTATGGGGTAGAAGAGGGATTAAACAAAAGACTTTTGGCACAAGTCGCCCTTTTATAACATATAAATACATTTACCAGGTGAAATCCTGCCTCATCTGACCCTAGTGCTACCTTACATAAAGCAACCCCTGTTTTGATTTAACAGCACATACCTGAATACCCTGCATTTAAACATTAAATTAATGATTCAATCGTCTTTCCATTTCTTGATCATAATTCAAGACTCCCCTCCTATTCATATCTTTTCCTTTGCCTTTTATGGGAGCTTTATTTTGCATTACCGTAGAGTCTTTGCCATTATTAATCGTATTTTGGAGGAACCAGTAGCAGCTCTCCAGGGTTAAGGTTCAGCTGAGATTTCCACCAATGCAGTTTATTTTCCAATTTTTCCATGAGGATAAATTACTCAAAACATGAAACACCTAAGATTTAATCTATAATAGATGCAATTTAGAGGAAAACACTGAAAAAAACCCACTAGGCTTACTTTAAGAATTCTAAATGCACGGGAGCGATATTCAACACAATGCTTAGGGCTATTTTGTGCTAACTGCAATTATAGTTTTGATCACACTGTTGCTGAAGATCACTTGGGAGTGACAACTCCTCCTTTTCAATATCCTCAAAATACTCTTTTTCAGAATATGAACGGTGCTGGCACAGCTCTGAATCTTGTAGCGACTTCACCAAGTTGGATAATTTGCCAGTGAAATAAAATATTTTCTCATGCCTTTGCAACCATGGCAAAGAACCAACATTTTACCACTGTTTTTGACAACAAACTAAGATTTTTATCAATTTATTATTTTTGGTGCCTAGCTTCATCTTATCATACAGTTTAAATGATCTCAGGGCAAATTTGCTTTTACTTATTTTTTAAGTCAAAGTGCTATTAATAAATGATTTTAATGGTGAATGAGATTAGTAAATCAGAATAAATTATTTTAATTCTTTTGCTTTTGCAGCTAAATATACCTTCACAAAGAGAAAAAAAAGTGTACACATTTTTAGTTGCACTCCTGAAGAACTTTGATTCTCCACTGTAAGAATTAATATACATTGGTTTGAAACCAAATGTAACTTTGTACCAAATTCTGTATTTTTTTGTTAACCAACCTCATTATCTATATATACTTTATTACATATAGATCTTAACTGAAGTATATTCCAAGTTTCCACTTTATTTGCATTGTATTGTTTAAATAATAAATTGGATAATAAATAATGTAGTAACCTACAGAAAAGCTATTTGACATCATATACAATAATTAAGAAAAACAGCATTTAAAAGAAAGTTTTTATCTATTACACAAACTAATGTAATAAAAACCCAAGAAAATATATGTAAAGTTAATGAACCGAACTGCCTTCTTCTGACTGCCACAGTTTTCAACATAAACTTGCTGATCTTAGCATCTTATGTCTAACTTTGGAGAAGTAAATCTTTTCTACGTTTTCTAACCCCTTTCACCTTTAAATTAACTAGTTAGTTCACTGGTAATAATTGCAATAAACTGAAATAAAGGAAAATTCTTTTTACATCTGCAGAAGATGCTTGACAAAAGTAAAATTTATGACTTCCATTTACTGCCTATGAATCCAATTTTTTCCCACCAGTTCAATGGTTTTATTTTCTATAAAATTTCAGTTTCAAAGGCATGCTGCTGGTATATTCTTTTTATTTCAATTAAAGGATTACCTAGAATTTCACAACAACAAAAACAAAGGGAACAGGACCAAAACACTCGAGCACAGTTAAGATATTAGACTCCAGGAGCTCTTTAAAGGAAAGAGATGGGTATTGCAGAACCCACAGTATTCCCCAGAAATGCTTTGATTTTTGCTCTTAAATAAAGGTGCCCACTTCCAGCTATACAAGAATAACGGAGATTTTAGAAGTAAGAAGTGGTAAAGAAAAGAAGTAGGAAGTGGGAAAAAAGACTGGTGCTCAGAGAAGAATGAATTTATAAAATGAGTCTTTCTGAAGAATCCCAAAGAGCAATCACACACCTTTGAAATGCCTACCATACTTGCAGGATAACACTGTTAAGCGAGCAAACCTAATCTTAAGAACCTGAGACTGCAGAAGTAAAAGGTGCTTTACCGCTGCTATTCCCACTTAGCTAGCAACAAGAGGGTCTGACGGCTAGTGGCAGATATTTCCGAGTCTCTACCTTCTCCTTCCCTTGTACTCAGTTTGCAGTATCTCACAATGGGTCTGCTTCCCACCAAACCTCAAATGCCTTCTATTCCTGTTCAGCACTACATCTCCTTAGCACAGTTTATTTCTAAAAAAAAAAAAAAAGACAGCTCTTAAACAATACTGCACCATACTTCCCACAGGAGTTATATGTCAATACTAAAAGAAATTCTGACCTCAATGAAATCAATGTCAAAGGTCCTAATTGCTTCAGCAAGGTCAGTTTTCACTAATAACTTTCTTACCCCATCAGATAGATCAGATCCCACTATAATTATCTGAATGGATAAAAAGGATATTAAAACCCCTAAAAAGATGCACTCTTTCATGATAAATATGTATTTAAATCACCCACGCTTTTAAAGGTGAAAGCTAAAGGAAAGCAGTACTCTAAAACTTAGAAAAGCTAATTTTTGAGAAGTCTATTTGCAATGATAAACTGTC